TGGCTGGCGCCTTAGCCGCTTGAGCCACAGGCGCCGAGCCTGAACTTTTCTTCTTATTCTCTATTTTTGCCTCTCCCTGAAAAACAAGTATTGATAAGTTACCAAAACCAAATTGAAAATACAGCCATAACAGAGATAAGCTTAAATTGTTTTGCTAATAGCTTATTTGTTTGAACCACCCAATTCTATGGAACAATAGAAGAAATGCTATTAAACCACCAAAGGACATATCAGTGAATTATTCAATTAATAATTATGTGTAGAATTATTACACTTAGATATCTACTACTCAGAGTTGAGTATTTTTTAAACTTAAGGTAATGATCCATTGGTAGGATGAAATAATTATTAGTGAGTCATGACCAACATTCGAAAGCCTGAAGTAGAAATAGAATAATGTAGAAACTATCAGCACATATGGAATGTAATAAGTGTTCTGCAAAACTGGGCTCGTATAAGTTACAGATGTGGGATATATTATTTGTCAAAGTATAAATACTTGGTTGCAGTCAAAATTTGAAAGCCACCACCATAAGGAAAATTTACTTATGTTTTCAAACTGAAAAAATTAGTAACTAAAATTTATCAAATGCCTATTTTATATAATTAGCACTTTTATACAACAAGTAATTACTATAAACCTTATAGGTTAGATATCAGCCTAATTTTATAGATCAAAAAAATAGATTCAGAGAGGTTGTGACTAGTCCAAACCAGATCCATACCCAAGGTCTGTCTGGCTCCAAAGCTTTAGGTTATCATCTCTCTGTACCAAAATAACGATGAAACAAAGCATAACTTGGATTCAGTCCAGAAGGATTGGTGTCTGCTTTTTTATCTCCAAATCCTAAGGCCTGGAAATACAGATATTTATTGACTATTATGTATTTATTACAGAAAAATGCTTTGGTGGTCCTTTGGAGTTTATATATAGTGATAGCTGATTTCACACAGTTTCTCAAAAGGGTCAGTGAAATCAAGTATTATTTTTTAATTGGTAAGTGTGCCTTACTTACCAATTAAGTACAGAGAAAAGATAGGTAGGATAACGAAAATTGGTTGTCTTCAGCACAGCATACCAGGCAGATGCTCTTAAGCCCCTGCTTTGCAGACCTTAAGGTTGAGGGGGGTCAATCCTGGGGGCTTAAAAGGCTTTGAAATTACATTTTTTGTCATTCATTTTGCTTCCTTTTATTTTGTGGAAATGAATCACCAGTGAAATTCTTTGAATGCCTTAGAACAATCATTAGATTGGTCTGCCTAACTGTATTCTTTAAGTTTATGTAGGTAAGCTCTTCATTATAATTTGCTTTATAATTGCTATGTTTCAGTGGCCTCATCAAGTAGAAAATTTAGCTCTTACAAACTAACACAACTTGTTTTTGATTTATTCAGCAGTGTGTGAAAGTAAAGATTTACCTGATACAGTTAGAACAGTATTAAAACAAGAAATGAATCGTCTTTTTGGAGCAACAAATCCAAAGAATTTTAATGAAACTTTTCTGAAAAGGAATTCTGATTCATTGCCACACAGATTATCAGGTAATCACTTTATTTTATTCCTCTCTTAGCCTTCTGAAACAATTTGAGTATTTATTTCAATCATCAATGACAAGATAAGATGCACTTTTTTAGCACAGGAAGAGGTAATGTGTATATTTGACATTTTATTACTGTGAAAACAAGGAGCTTACATATGCTTCCTCAGCTATGTGTGGTAGCGTGCACCTGTAGTCCTAGCTATTTGGGAGGCTTAAGTAGAAGGATCACTAGATGTCATAAGCCCAATATGGGCAAAATAGTAATACCTCATCTCATATATATGCATATATATACGTTTCCCATACATTTTTAAATTTCTTAAGACAAAGTTATTACTATGAATCAAGGTCAGTAGTCTCTTCTAGTTTAACATTGCCATTACAAAGAAACAAGAATAACTGAATTTAAATGTGTATTACAAGAAAGGCGGAGTTTTATTTCTCCTTCTATCATGTGTTCTTAAAATTTACTTAGATGTGACCACCTGAAACTATCTGGTAGTTTATAGGAAACCTAAGGCAAGAATCTATACCAGTGAAGCACAATCTGGATATAATGGGACCATGTAAGTAATGCTTTAGTGCTGTGCTTTTGTAATACCTGGCTGAGAAGCCCAGCAGGTTTGTGGAATCCTGAATTCAGATTTTTGGCTCAGAGTATTCACTTCACCAACAAATTCTTATCATTTTAGAAAGAAAATTCTCCATGGTCCCTCGATACAGAGTTATTACTAGAATATTTGTATATCTTCCTGGGCTGTTTACTGTGTATATTTTATGTATACTTTATATTTTATTAGATAGATATACTCGATATACCTTAATCACTTTCCTACTTTTGACAGGCTATTTTTGGTCTACCATCTCAGAATTATTTCTTTTAAGCAACAGTGTCTCAGTGGCTATTCCCATTTTTCTAATAAAGGGCCATACTCTATGTAAACATATAACTTGTATTTTATATTTGAGTATGTTTGTTTTACCTTGAAATAAAACAAATGTCCTTTCCCCTCCATTTAGCTGCCAAAATGGTATATTATTTAGATCCTTCTAGTCAGAAGCGAGCTATAGAATTGGCAACAACACTTGATGAATCTCTCACTAACAGAAACCTCCAGGTAAAGAGTTTTTTCATAATCTTTATATAAGAATGCCTAACTTTTTTGTTTTTGTTTTCACCAAGAGAAATAAGTTTTTTGTTTCTTCTACTCTCCTTGAAACCATTAAGAGTCTGTGTCATACATAGCTCATCTTAAATTTATTTAGGGTTGTGTTTATATGTACATATGCACACTAGGCTGCATGGCATTCAGTAACTAGTTTTATGTCTGTAACTTGGAATAACTTTTAGAAATATATTTTAGTAAAATCATATATATGTTTCTTATTTTTGGATTTTGACTCATTTCTGTGCATGTGTATCTCTGTGCATGAGGCAGTGGTCTCAGTGAAAATTCTTACATATTTAAGGTTTATTTATCAGAGGCTCAACTAAAATACTTGTTTGGTGGTTTATAATACAATAAAAGATTAAATAGAGTATTGTAAAATATAAAGTTTAGACTAAGTGGTCTCAGTGAAAATTCCGACATTTAAGGTTTATTTATCAGAGGCTCAACTAAAAGACTTGTTTGGTAGTTTATAATACAATAAAAGATTAAATAGAGTATTGTAAAATATAAAGTTTAGACTAAGAACAAAAGACAGCTACTTTGAGTTATAAGCATCCAGATAAAGAAGTACATGCTGAAAGGTAAATACAGGCTCTGTGCCTATGGCTCAAGTGGCTAAGACACCAGCCACATACACCGGGGCTGGCTGGTTCAAATCCATCCCGGGCCCGCAAAACAATAATGACGGCTGCAACAAAAAAATAGCCGGGTGTGTGGCAGGTGCATGTAGTCCCAGCTACTTGGGAGGCGGAAGCAGGAGAATCACTCGAGCCCAGGAGTTGGAGGTTGCTGTGAGCTGTGATGTCACAGCACTCTACATAGGGCGGCAGCTTGAGGCTCTGTCTCAAAAAAGAAAGGTAAATACATATTTATTAAACAGCAAATGAAGACACTACCCTTAAGAAGAAAAATTACTTCAGTTTTGTCTGGGGCTGGGTTTGAACCCACCACCTCAGGTATATGGGGCCGGCGCCCTACTCCTTGAGTCACAGGTGCCACCTGAAAAATTACTTTTGTTAGTTGCACCAGTTAGAATCTGGATTTAAAATCCTGTGTAACTTAGCACAGTGTATAGAATTTTATGTATCTGGAAACTAAGTAGTGTTTTCTAAATGATAAGATTAAGAAAGAAAGCATAAGAATTCAATACAGCGTGAATCATTTGAAAATATAAGAAGCAGACTTACCTTAGGGATTTGGCTAAAAGAATTGTGGATTTTAATGATTTTTCTTGCATATAATCTTGTGTTTGAGATACTCTTTTCTGCTTAGTTAACAGGGTATGCCTTAGCATGTGCTTTTATTTGAATACCTGTATTTGATTTTGCTGGCTGGGTCTAAGCCTCCAAAAAATTAAAAGGCCTACATATAATAATTGGCATTGGCATAACAAATTTAGCTGCTTATATACACAGGGCAGACCAGGCTAAGGTAAAGTTGTTGCCAAGGTTGTGTACTTGCAGAGAGTGGGTTCCCTTTTTAAATACGGGACCCATACACCCTATTTGCCTTACCTTAGTCTTGTTTCTACATTTGTACATGTTTATCTTCTTGTGTAAACCCTGCACTTGTGGAAAAATGGTTAAATTAGACCTTAAAGAACATACAAATGCAGTGTACATGCAGGAATAGATGTTTTTGTTCTTCTCACATACGCACATTTTTTATTATTTTGGAAATATTGAATTGATATTGAAATGTCTAATAAAGTCACAGTAAAAATCTTTTTTGACAAGTTTTAATGTGACCCTTTTTCTTTCTTTAGACATGTATGGAGGTATTGGAAGCCTTGTGTGATGGTAGCCTAGGAGACTGTAAAGAAGCTGCTGACATTTATAGAGCAAATTGTCATAAGCTTTTCCCTTATGCTTTGGCTTTCTTGCCTCCTGGATATGAAGAGGATATGAAGATCACAGTTAATGGAGATAGTTCTGCAGAAACTGAAGAATTGGCCAATGAAATTTGAACATCATTAAACAAGCAAATGGAATGACTTTGGACCATATCTAGTGTATAATATTTTTGTCACGCACCTGCTGCATTGCTCTAACTTACACAGAATGAGAGGAGTAAATGTTCTTGCCTTCAAATAGTGTTTTACGTTTTTTATCCTGCTGAAAAAGTATATATAAAATATCTAACATAACAGGATATAGGTTCAGTTTCTTAAAAAAATTAAAGCTGCTAAAATTGAGAGGTTAAAAAAAAGATACCTTATCCTATTCCCACCCACCCACCCATGTTTTTAAACTAATTTATATAAAATCTGGAGGTTGTTACAGCTAACAAAGCAGGTGTGTGGCAGAAATATTACTTTAAATTTGTCTTGTGAGATTTTACTATATCTCAGACAGCCTAAATGCTGTTTTAGCACTGGATTCTTTCACTGAGCACAAAGAGTTGTTGGGGCTTTAGCATCTGACTGATTTTGTTATGGAGTTGATTCTGACCATAGTAAGTATGCAGTGTGAATCACTATTTACAGAGAAATCTACAACAGATGCTTGATGTTGTAGAAACTGGGACATAATAGATACCAAGCAAAATTATAAGGAACCTAGAAGGTGTTAAATACGCTTGTTGTGTTTCCAAAATTCACTGTATATGATCAGTTTGGTGTTCTTGTACCACAGTTTTTAACTGAAGGAACCAGTTGAAACAGTCTCAATTTTAACTAAAACTTGAAGAACTAAAACAGCAATGCAAACCTTTCAGCATTGTTTTGGCCAAACTTGTTAAAACTGTAATGCAAGAACCAAATGCACTGTGATGTGGCAACAACTAATTAGCAAGCATGAATTTTTCACCCAAGAGTGAAAATAAAGGAAATCTACCATGGCTTGAAGTTAAAGAGCAGAACTCCTGACTACCATTCTATGACTGATCAAAAGACTAATAGTTAAAACCTCAGCAGGCCTTGTTCACGATATGCAGAAAAAAAGTGCTGCAGTTTAGATACCTCTGGAATTTTTCCACAGTGTCACAGGTTTGTAATACTTGAAGCCCTACATTTCTAAGAATATATTTCTTGCTCAGTTGTTTCAGGCAAGCCCAAGACTTTGTAATTTTTAAAGGGCCCAACCTTTTTTTTTCCAAATAACAGACCAGCTTCTTTTTCCTGCAGTTACAGATGTAATTTCCTTTTTGTTGTCAAACATAAGGTACCAAATATGATGCAATAAATTGTTTTGAAAAACAGTTGTGTGAATATTTCAACCAGTCTGTTTTGGGCTTCTGTGAAAATATACAAGTGGAAACAGAGGTGAAAGCCAGAGTCAGTGTAATGTGTTGTAAGGCCAGTGCAGATGGGAGCTTTTTAGAAGGGAAATTTCATAATGAAGTAGAGTGCTGCTCCTGCATTAAGATTTCATTGAGGACTAGATTGGTGGCAGGTACTACGAAATGTAATTCATAATTTGAAAGGAAAACTAGAACTATTTTGATTGGGAAAATGAGCCTTAACATGTTAGACCAGTACACTGAGAACTGGCCTCAGGCTGAACAATCTCATTGCATTTGTAAGATCTGAGTAAATAAGATTAAGTACAAAGAATCAGTTGTATATATGATTGACCTTTTTGTGGCACTTTTAGTTTATAGAAAGTATTATCTAAAGGGAATTTTCAGAAGGCCCCATCCTTTCATGGATTGAACAGCTGTGCTAAAATCAGCCTTTCATCGTACATGCCCTGCATTCCACAGCCTGGGCTAACAGTTGAGTGATATGAAGAAGAGTTCAAACTGAACTTCAGTGCTTTGTTATGTTTTATTAACCGGCCTGTCTCAGGAACATCTTAACAGATGGCGCAAAAAAAAAAAAAAACCTTTCCAACCTCTCCTATGAGTGGCAACTGAAGTTCTTATTGTTGGGAAAGAACACTAGTGCTACCTCTGCCACTAATGAGGTGTTTGGAGGAGGCACCAGCCATATAACAGGGGGTGTATGTGTGACTTTTGTTTAAACTCTACTGTATATTGAAATGGATTCATCTGTTTGTTTTGACAATGTTCAAATGATGTAGATTGTCTTAGAGTGAATATTCATAAGTACTCAGAACTCTTAATGCCACCCGTGAGGAGCTAAATTCCTAACATGTATATTGTATTCCATCCCAATTTTACTGGAACTATTGAATAAATCTTTTATTTTCTTTCAGGTTTACTTGATAGTGAATACATTGTCTGGTGTCAAAGGACCTTAACTGGGTTCATTTTAAGTCCAGACAGCACCCTTAAAATATGTACTGTGTTATCTTACTCTGAGTAGTATCAACTGGATCATCTCACATTTGCCTCATTCATTCTATTAATTTCAAATGATACTGTGGGGGGAGACAGGGTTAGAAAAACAAGTGGAAAAGAAATGCAGTGATATTGTAATCTAAACAAGTGCCTTATGTTTATTGCTAAGAACTGGTGTTATCAACCCTTTTGATAAGAAAGGGTCCTTTGACCTGTATTAGCATAGGAAAGTAAATTTTTTTTTATTTTTATTTTTCAACTATTCTTGTCATTTCTCACTGAAAACCTAAAATCTAACTAGGTTAGTTACTCAGTTTTAATTAGATAGTTGACTCATACATTTTCAACATTTTTCTGTATCTATTTATTATGCACAACAATAAAATGTGATCTATAATAGCATGACTAAAAGTAGTGCCAATGTTAGTGAATAGCTTTTCTGTGCGCTTTATCAGGCCCTTATTTTTCACAGTGTTGCTGGTATTCTATGGTGTATTGCTAGTAGAGCTGTGAAATGAATGCTGTGACTGAAGAGGTCAGAAAACCATCCAGATTCAGGCAGGTTGCAGTAAATTTCAGAGAAATCTTTATAAGTTCTAAGAGTATTTCAGTTGCCATGTGTAGCAGCTATTTGGGAAGAGCTAAACGGTAAAATATTGGACTTTATTAAAAGATAGACATATACTTGTCTTAGATGGTTGCAGCCTTAAAATTTTAAATTAATCTTGGTAAGAGAATTGAAAGACCTTTCACATGGAGGCAGTTTTCCCATTCTATTAGGTCATTAAATCTGAAATGTCCAATTTTTAATCACAAGTTTATTATATCTTAAATAAGAAGCAGTATAATTAAAGTATGTGCCAAAACTATCCACACAGTTTTGCCATCTTAATGGTAGTTTGTGTGTGCTGGCAGGAATGAAGTCTGGAGAGTGTTGGCAATGAAATTGTGAAAGGCATTTCCTGCAGCTTGTTGACAATTGAATATTTTTCCTTGTAAGAAGTGGTCCACGGCTTGGCGCCTGTGGCTCAAGTGGCTAAGGCGCCAGCCACATATACCTAAGGTGGCGGGTTCGAATCCAGCCTGGGCCCGCCAGACAACAATGATGGCTGCAACCAAAAAATAGCCAGGCGCTGTGGTGGGCGCCTGTGGTCCCAGCTACTTGGGAGGCGGAGGCAGGAGACTCGCCTGAGCCCAGGAGTTGGAGGTTGCTGTGAGCTGTGATGCCTCGGCACTCTATGCAGGAGGACAGCTTGAGGCTGTGTCTCAAAAAAAAAAAAGAAGTGGTCCAAAGCCTGGAAGTAGTAGTCAGTGGGGATGACACAGCTTCCAAGTCCAGCTTCTGTACTTTGAGCAGCCTTGTTTTTGGGACATGTGATGGAGCTTAGTCTAGCAAGAGGATTGATTAGCCTGTCTCTATTGACCAGTCCTGGCTGCTTAATTGCAAGCATTCTCATCATGTCTCCAGTTGATTGCAGTAGACATTGCCTAGAATTGAAAGACCAGGTTTCATGAAGCTGTAGTGCATAATTACCAGTGCTATACCATCATACAGACACCATTACTTTTTTTTTTTTCCTTCCTTCCTTATGAATCTTTGGTTTTGGACTGTTTTGGCTCTTCGTCTTATCCAATCATTGTGCTGAATGCTTGTCATGGTGAGAATCCATTTTTTCATCACACTTAAGAATATGGTATAGAAATTGTCTTTATCTTGTGACAGCAAAGAAAGGCAAACTAGGAGAAAGTGTCTTTTCTGGCACTTATTTAATTCATGTGGAAATCATCTAGCTTCTTTATCCTTCTGATTAAGTTCAAATGGTCCAATATTGTTGGAATAGTGACATCAGACCTTGCTGCTAATTCTTGGGTAGGTTGAGATAGATTCACTTCAGTACAGCTTTCAGCTCATCATTATCCACCTTGGTCTCAAGTCACGTGGTATGGCTCGTGTTCAAGACTAAAATCACCACAACTTCAAATCATCAATGTACTGTGCATTCACTAGCTACATCCTTTCCAAACACTTAAACTTCACTGATACTTTGAGCTGTCTGTGCTGCATTGATTCCACAATGGAACTCACATTCAAAAATAATATGAATTTTTGACTTACCCGTAGTTTCATAAAAATTGCTGTAAAAATTTGAAAGATAATCATAGGCCCAAATGTGCATTTGAAAGAATGAGGATGTACCTTTACAGTTTAAAAATTAAAGAAGCAAGAAGTATCAATGTGAAATCTCAGATACCAAATGTTTTTAAGAAACTTGGACATTTCATACTTAGTAACCTAAAAGGTCCTGTTCTAGTTCTTTAAGTTACAAAGTTTCATGATACTGTTCTGCTATGATCTGAGTTTTACTGAATCTATTGCCAAACCTAAATTAAAAACAAAGTCCTGTGAGATGGCCATGCTGTACTATAGTGAGCAGAAGCATATTTTGTTCCAGTGGTTGAAAATCTCAGCCTATGGCTATGAAATAGTTTTGGGAAAGGTTATTGCTTAAGTGCACTTTGACCTTTCAGTATGATAACTATGAGTTGGATCTTGAAATGTATTAGTAGTGTGTAGGAAGTTCTAGAGAAAACCTTCAGAAGTATGCTGTGTTTTAATAAAGTTGAAGACTCTCTGGGTTACATGGCGCATCCAAACCTGCCACCTCCATAAGAACATACGCCTTATGGCATTAAAAAATGAGTTCCCAGGCTTGCCATGGTGGCTCACGCCTATAATCATAGCAGTCTGGGAGGCTGAGATGGGTGAATTGCCTGAGCTCAGGAGTTTGAGCCCAGCCTGAGCAAGACAGAGACTCAGACTCTATAGCCAAGCATTTTGGTGGGTGCCTGTAGTGCCAGCTAACTAGGGAGGCTGAGTGAAGAAGATTGCTTGAGCCCATGAGTTTGCTGTGAGGTTATGACCCCACAGCCCTCTACCACAGTAACAAAGTAAGACTTTGTCTCAAAAATAGATCAAATAAATAGAATGAGCTCCCCAGAAGAGAGAATAATATATTTTAGGAAAGATGATCTAAAAGTTTCCAACCTTTCACTTTGCCTTACAATAGCAATGGGATTGTAGCCAAAAGAAAGAAAAAAAAGCTAATATATAAATTACATACTGTACAAATTAGAACCTTTTCTAACTTGACAACTATAGAGAAGCTTGGAAATTTAGTAACATTCAGTGTTCTTTATACATTTCTATGTACCAAAATGAGAATATAGACTATTTCAAAGCTGCTTGTGTCGAAAGTACAATTGATACTTAACAATCTAACAAAACTATAATGTGGTGGTTTAATTTAAGTCTTTGTCCCTAATTGAGAGGTCTGTGTTATTTAACACAAGTGACATAATTCTTCCTAACTGAAAAAATGAATGGTGGTGAATATATGGTGGAAAAATTTCTGTGATAAAAGATTTCTGCTATTGGTAAGCCTTCAGCTTGGCCTCAATAAGTACAAATTATCTTCTCATTAACAAGGAGTTTTTGGAGGATGTTCTTGATCCCATGCCTGGCTTTCAGCTAATAATTACATTTATCTTCTATATTTAGTTGCCTGTTCATTGTGTAACATGGGGATCCTCTCTCCATAACAGTCTATGGCTATCTTCCCAGTCTACCAGCTTCCTAACTCGGGGCTTTTTGGACTTTGCCACTTGTTTACTTTGACCTGCAAGTTTATCAGGTCTGTTGTCTAGTACTTGCTGCCTCACCAAAAATGGGATAGGAACTGTTTTCTTTCTAAAGTGTTCTATGACTATATGATGATTTTATTAGTAGTAGTAAATAGTAAGCTACCACTTCTCATCTTTCTTTGAACTACTTATTTGCCTTCAAGTAATCATACTGTCACTTGATTGTCTCTAAAAATGAAAAGGGGGCTATTAATGTAGATAATAACTTGTTTCCTAGATTCTTCCCTTCTGTAAGTTCTGCACTTTGGAATACTAAATACTAATTTTTCCCTTCATAAACTGAAAAAAAAAAAACAAACGTGGATTAACAATAACAATAGAAGTATTTAAAAACCTTTTTAGCTATTATTGTACAGTTAATATTTGTTCAGAAGTTCATTGAAAAGGACCTAAGAATAAACTAACTGCTTCATTTGTAATTTTTTAAAACTTAAAGTTCTAAAGAGCCTATTTCTTATTCAGGCATTTTATTTCATGTAGCAGTTTTCATTCACCTGCTAGGATGCTTTTCATTTGGGAGAAATGTCTTATTATAACATGAAATTAAATGACTAATGCTTTGGTTCAGACTCATGTAAATCCATTTTTAATGTGATGTATGAAATTTTAAGGATTTACTCTGGGTACATTTTGATATAAAGCAACAGTGACTGGGACAATGCACAGTAGATATTTAAATTCTTGTTAAATTTTCTGTGAATATTAATGCTGCCTTACAGATTGTAGAAAATAGCAATAAAGTACTGTTAACTTTCAGGCCACCTACAAAAAGCTGACAATTTTTTGTCCCTTATCTGTTGATATAAAGAATATCCCCATTCATCTCTCCTTTGTCTCCTTCTAATGGTCTTAAGGAATTTCCTCAAAATACTACATTTGTATTTCTCAAGTTAATTTTTGTTTTTTTCCTATAGTTTGTCAGAGGAATGGTTGTGACTGGTCTTTAAGAAGCAGATGCCTGGAAGAACCACCCTCTAATTTTTCTCAGTTCCCTGTTCATTGTGGCAGTGGTTAGCAGTGAATCTACTCATCCTTCACGTCTTTAGCAACTAGCCAACCAGGTAACATCATGCCATTGGAATAAAGTTACAAGGATTGCCACTTGACCAGTATAAAGGGCCTGGTAACACCATCTACCTAGAAGGCTCTGTTTTTCATAGTTTAGTATCTCCACTTTTAATCATTACAGGTAAGGAGACAGGAGTTAGGGACATGCTATGGTTGTATCTGGACACCTGGCTTAGAGCGAGTGTCCACCACAACCAGTAGCTGTGGTTTTATGGTTCTCAGTTGATCCTTTCTACTGAGGATTGGTGATTAAGTCATTTTCAGTCATAAACTTAACACATTTTATATTAGAACCCCAGAGGAGCTATTAAATAAAAATAATAATCTTAATGTCTAGGCCCACAAGCAAAAAATGATCTATAGTCAGGACTAAGCATTTGTCCTCCTTCTTTTCCTTCCTACCCTTATTTTTTTCCCTTCTCTGCTTTCTTTCCTCTCTTCCCCAGGGATTCCAAGGTGCATCCAGAGTTAAAAGCCACTTTAT